CCTTAGTGATAAGCACTAGTGCTTGATCGCAGCGTTGACTTGAAGATACTGACTTCGTGAGATTAGCTGACTACCGTTTGAATTTACTGTACTATGCCTTTGATTACGACTAGTTTAGCACAGTTTTGGCACAAATAGAGTGTATTTCAATAAACAATAAAAAAATAATTTCCGCTTTTTCTGTGTTATTTTTTCATGCAAAACAAGTGTCCTAAAGGATAGGCGTTTCAAGTGGAGAGTGCATGATTGAATAAATAAAGCTATTATGCATTTCCAATCTTTAACCCGACGTTGCGTCAACCGATGTGATGAAATTACACCATGTGCTGAATAAGCAATCAAATTTCGAAGAACAAATTTTGCAGAATGTCAGATGACGTAGGTTTTACGTGTATCATCAATGTTTAATTGCTGATCTGACACTTTAAAAGATTGCTTTGATCCGTCACGATTTTCTACAATGCAACTTGATTCTACGATAAACATTGTAGACTGATTGTACCCAACCAATACAGTGTATCTTTCTTCCATCCTTGATTTGCAGAATCTTCATCACTAAGCACAAGCAATTTTCTGGGCATGTTGCTTGGTAACCACCCCAACGGGGAAATAATCGACATCCTTAGCAAGTACAAGAACTCCAGACAAAGTCTGATGCAGAAAATTTATTGCTTTCTTTACTAATTTCAATGTCTGGGCAATTACGAGGCACTAGGAAGTGCACTTGGAAAGCATAATTTGATGAGACGTTAACAACAAAACACCTAATTGACGAGAAGATATGAAGCTGAGCACATCGAATCAGCATCCCGAAAATGGAGCAATTCTTGACTGAGATAAAAACTAGCGCAATCATAGATTTGGTATAATTGTCCAGTAGCGGGTCTGACTCAAATATAAAAAAATAATATTTCTGGCAAGGCAACACCACATCTCAATATTCGTTCAAAGAATACAACGCGAATCATCTGAGGTCTTACCGCATTCCGATGATCAGCAGATACAACATAAAAATACAAAAGAAAACGAACTGAGAATAAAACAGAGACATGAAATCCACAGCGTTCGATACCCGTGTTTGGCACCAAACACTTCAAACATAAGAATCTATATACATCGATACAGCCATCGTCGACTAGTGAGAAATTCAAAAAAAAAACAGAATGATATCCCACTCTCCAATATCAGCATGAGATTCGCACTACACCGAAGTTATTTTGTGACTCTTGCGTAATTAAGTAGATTTTCTGATAGTAGGTGAAGATGAGTTCAATGACCAAGTTCGTCAAGACGGTGGCGACGTTTTCTCAGCGGAACTTTCGCGTTCCGCATCGCTTACGCTTCGACGAAGCATGTGGTCGAGTCTGTCCGTAGCACATTCAATCTCCTAAAAAAGAACATAATTTATTTCCGTAGGGTGAAATGGAAAATCAAAGATTCAAGATGGGAGTAGTGAGACCAGATCACCACGATCACACTCTTTCGACTTCTTTCGAAAATTATACCTGTATTAAAGCTGAATGGCTCCGTAACATTCCGGACAATGCTTCATCGTCGGTGAAGCCAAGCCCGGATGTGCGTACGCTGGCTAACGAGGATACCTCAGACGAGTCACTTGGTGAATTCGGAATGCCTTGCGGTAATGATGTTCGATAGCTGACGTCGGATATTGATGGAGATGTCATTCTGAAAAAAGCATTTTACTTTGTTGACGTGGCACGGAGATGTTCGCATTAGGCAGCGCAAGCTTGAGGTATTGGTCACACTCCAAATAGTGTTTTTTAGTAAGAAAATCACAAAAATTGCTTGAAATTCTTGTTTAAATAAAGCTTAGCTTGTAAAATGTCGACCTCTTTCCATAGACCACATTGT